CCGGCTGATTTTTTAATTTATTGTAGAGATGAGGTTTCGCCAAGTTGCCCAGGCGGGTCTCAAACCCACAGGCTCAGGCAATCCACTCCCCTCGGCCTCCCAAAGCACGGGATTACAGGATGAGCCACCGAGCCCGGCCTGTGCATATATTTTTAAATGTAATTTAAATTAATCCTTCCAATGACATTTGTAAGATTGAGGCATACATGTCCGAAAGAACTCAAGCTTAAACCTGTGCTAAGACTTTTGGGACACTCTGTGTATGAAGCACACTTAGAAGAATGCCAGACACGTGGTGAGGGCTGGTGAGTGTTGGTGTAAGGCTGCGGAGAGCGATGAACTCGGAGGCTGTATGTGAAGTACTCGGCACTTGGTGCCGGGTCCAGAAGTGCTCAGCACCAGCCAGCTGGGTGACAGCTATTTGGCTCAGATGTCCGACAGGAAACTGATTGGCTCTGTGCAGAGGAATGCTACTGCACCTCCCAAGAGGGGGAAACTGAGCAAAGCGATGGGGAATCTCTGACAGAGAGGTGAAGAGGTGGGCACCTCCATGAAGATGGCATGAAGGAGGAGTTAGGCAGTGGACTGCCCCCGTTGTCCAAGGTGGCAGGCACCTGGGGCGGTGCTGCCTAGCGCCGCGTGCCTGTACTTGCCAGCTCTCAGTAAACAGTGAAAGGAGCTGGGCAGCAGGGGCCCCACACTGGGCAGGGAGGGGTATGGGGGATCCCAGCCAATCGGCTCGCCTCCCACTGCCCCATGAAAGGGCCATTCAGTTCAGGCCGTTCCTGTGGCAACAGGGAGACTCACAACCATGTGAGTGCCTGTCCCATCCCTGTCTTGCGCAGCGAGGCTCCAGCCAGGGCCCCAGCCCGCTCTCCTGCCTATGGTACATTCCGCAGCCTCCAGGGACAGCTGTGCCAGGTAATGCCTTCTCGCCTGGAAGATACTGGGACCTTCAAGAGTGAAACTGGGGGTTGGGGGGTGTGGCCCCATGCACAAGGCCCCAGTCCCAATAGGTACCCTCTTCCCAGACATGGGAACTGTTAGTCAGATGTCAGGGCTGAGGCAGCTTCCAGGGGGTGTTAGTGAAGGCATGATTCCCAGGGCTGCTGGGGGGAGGGGAGAGGTCTGGCAGGCAACTGCCGGATTGGAGCAGACAGGAGAGTGGGGATTTGGGAGCCCTTCTAGGATTCCATGGGCCAGAAGATGTGGCTCCACCTCCAGCCCCAAAGCCTCCCAAGGCTGTCTGTCCCTGTCCGCTGTACCTTGTTTGGCCCCATCACTTCTGCGTCATCAGCAGGGCCAGGGGAGGTCACGGACTTGGGGCACTGCCCGCAGAATACCAATTCCCTGGGAGCCCTAGTGTGGAGGAGGGGAGAGGGAGAGCCGTGGGGAGGAGCCATGAGCTCATACCCCGAGGGGGGGTGTATCTGATTGGCTGCCTGGTGTCCCAGAGCCCAGCTCCTGAGACCTGGAGTCTCTTGGACTTTGCATTATTGATGGAGTTCTCCAGAGCGAAATAGAGCAGGACTGGGACCCCACCCCCAACCCTGTGCCTGTCTCTCCCCCTGTGGTTTCCCCTGGACCCTGCATGAGGTCCTCCCCCAGCTACCTTTTCCTGGAAAGGAGTGAAAGTTGTGCCAGAGGTGGGAGCACAGTAGGCAAGGGCATGTACAAGAAGGATGGGGGGGGTCCCTGGGCAGGTGGGCAAAGGGTAGACAGTAAGATGGGCCAGGCCCTTCTGATGCCAGCCTGGACAGAAAGGTGCTAGAGGTTGCTGGCAGGGTCAGGGAGGGCTATTCTGGGACCTCTGTCGAAGTTGCCATCTGCTCATCTTCCACCCCTGCACCTATCCCAGGCCTTGCATGGACTAGGATTCTAGAGCTTTCTGCCAAGCCCTCAGCATTTGGAGCTTGGCACCAGCTCCTCTCTGCCCCAATGGGCTGGGCTGCTGGCTTAGGGCAGGCTGTGGGCTGCCCAAGTCAGTGTCTGCTGAACTGCTAAATGTCTGCCCACTACCCGCATATCTCACTGGGGGTGCAGGGGGAAGCCTGGCGCCTCGGGCTGAGGTCAGAGGCCGGCCAGGCTGGGAGACTGCCAGCCCTGACATTATTATAGGCCTACAAAGGGAGGAGCCGGGCTGCCAGGCAGGGCCTGGGGAGAAGATAATAACCACTGTCGTTGTAGAGTCCTTTCGCGTGTTATCTCATGTATTCCTCTCAACAACCCTATGAGGCGGGAATCATGATGATGGTGATTATACTCATTTACAAGTGAGGAAGTGGGGCTCAGAGAGGTTAACTGAATGGTGCAAAATAGCCCAGCTAGTCTGTCATAGGGCGAGTCACACTACTGTGAGAGTCCTGGACAAGTCTGCTTCAGTCCCTCTGGGGAGCCCCCAAGGGTCCCTGATGCCCGTGAGGAAAGGGGCCTGAACCCACTTGCTCCCCTCTCCAAAGCACCTTCACCACTTCAGCTCCACTGGGTGAAGCCTGCATGTTTAGGGTGATGGCGGGCCTCTGGGGGTCCCCAACTGAGCCTAACTTTGCTAAGGGGTGGTGAATCAAGGTGAAGTGGAATGAGCGCTGAATGGGATTCTGAAAGACCTGGATTCCAGTCCTGGCTCTGTAGTGTGTGACCATGGGCAAATCAGTGTCACTTGCCCATCTGTACAAGAGAAAGGCTGAAACACATGATCCTCTAGGGCCCTCAAAGTTCCACAGTCTGCAATTTCTGTGTTCCTTCACCAGACACCACCCCAGGGGCAAGGACTGTGGGGAGCAGGGGAAAGGGGAGAGCTGCCTGCAGTGCAGGATTTTGGACTCTAGAGGGCCCCCTTTGCACAAGTCAAGTATTGCCAGGAGCAATTTATGATCTCTGTTGATAGGGGAACCCCTGGGAGGCCACAGGACCCTAACCTGCCTAGAACTCCATAAAGAGGATGAAGTGTTCCCCATCGTGGGACCCAGCAACAGGTGCCCATGTCCAGGGAAGATCCCTCAGATAGTGTCCAGCCCCCTCTCTGCTGCATGCTCCCTCACCACCTCCCCCTGCCCACCAACACCCCCCATTACTTCCTCTCACGAGCCTCCTTTTCCTCATGAGACCGACCAACCAAATATCTTCAGATCATTCCAGAGTAGATAGTAGTCTATGATTCCAAAGAGATTCCTGCTTATCACATAAGTCAGACAGGAAGGAAGTGGCCTTACTCTTGGAATCTCCAGTGCTCTCAACTCAGGGCCTAAAGGCAATGGCATCCCCCAGACTCAAGAGTGTCTCCAGAAGCTGAGAGGAGGAACCTGATGGAATTTGGGCCAGAAGGCTGTGCATGGCTTGGTGTGCTGCGGAGCTCGGGCAGCCTGTGCTTGCATGTTTGAGTCTTTGAGGGAAGTACTTGGAGTGGCCAAATTGTGCCACGAGACAGATTTCCCCACGTGGCTTATAAAAGCCAGCTCCTCTCCTGTTCTCTCCTCAGGATGCGGAGGCATGGGTACGTGCAAGCCCGTGTGCATAACTGCATGCATGTATGCATCTCTGTGTGGCCAGCCTCTTTTAGAAATGGACCAGGTGGCCCTGGTTGAGATCTGAGGTTCTGGCCCAGCTGGGGCTGAGGAGCAGGCACTCAGGAGCCTGACACCCGGCAGGGCCCTTTGACAACTGATTTCCTTGTCTTTCAGCCCATGAGGCTCCCAGTCCCCACTGAGTGCCGCCCTGAAGGATGTCCCAGCTCTCCTCCACCCTGAAGCGCTACACAGAATCGGCCCGCTACACAGACGTCCCTTACGCCAAATCGGGCTATGGCACCTACACCCCCTCTTCCTATGGGGCCCACCTGGCTGCCTCCTTCCTGGAGAAAGAGAAGCTTGCCTTCAAGCCAGCCCCCCCCACCAGTTTCCTCACCCGTCCCCGTACCTATGGCCCCTCCTCCATCCTGGACTATGAGCGAGGCCGCCCCCTGCTGAGACCTGACATCATTGGGGGTGGTAAGCGGGCAGAGAGCCAGACTCGGGGCACTGAGCGGCCTTCAGGCAGTGGCCTCAGCGGAGGCAGTGGATTCCCTTATGGGGTGACCAGCAACAGCCTCAACTACCTACCTGTGAATGCCCGTGACCACGGGATGACCCTGACCCAGAAGAAGTCGGACAGCCAATCAGACCTAGCCCGGGATTTCTCCAGCCTCCGGACCTCAGATAGCTACCGGATAGACCCTGGGAACCTGGGCCGCAGCCCTATGCTGGCCCGCACGCGTAAGGAGCTCTGCACCCTGCAGGGGCTCTACCAGGCAGCTAGCCGTCCTGAGTACCTGGTCGACTACCTGGAGAACTATGGTCACAAGGGCAGTGCACTCCAGGTGCCCACCCAGGCCCCTCCCTCACGAGTCCCTGAAGTCCTCAGCCCCACCTACCGACCCAGCGGCCGCTACACACTGTGGGAGAAGGGCAAGGGCCAGACCCCTGGGCCCAGCCGCTCCAGCTCCCCAGGGCGAGACACCATGGTGAGTTTACTTTTGGGGACTGGTGATGGGCTGGGGAGGCAGCCACTGATGGAGAAGAGCCAAGTTAAGGGCAGGACTCCCAAACACAACTGATGTGGCAACTGCCCCTGCAGCCCTGGTGGAGATAAGTGAGGGTGATCATCCCAGTACATCTGATGCCCTTATGGCTCTGTGCCAAGGGGCAGGGCTTTCCCACTCTCCCTAGAAAGCCCACTCAAGACCTGTACACTTGGGGGTGGTACAGCAGTATTCTCAGGAATGCTCAGCTATCGCCACATACACTGCTATTCTCACCTGTACATCCCAGGCTGGATTCTGGGGCCCCCAGACCACTGGTGCTCCCTGTGGCAAGAGAGGCTCCCTACTCTGGTTGCATCTCTCCTGCTCAGGCTTTATGCCCTAGCCCTGAGACCTGGCTTTACATTTGGCCATAATACATCAGAGGAAGAAGGACTGTCCTCTGATTGATGCTGGCGTGCTCAGGACCAGGGTGTCTGGAGAGAAGTGCTTAAATGTCTTTGGAAAAAATAGAGAGGAAATTTTTGCCTAGGACTTGAGACAGTTCAGTACTTCTGTATTCTAACCCTTTCTTGGCTGGAATGAGAGAGGGCTCTACTGGAGACTGACCAAGGACTGGCATGACCTCGCCCACATCTAATCCCTGAACACACCTCTTTTGGGTCACTGACTACATTCTGCCTTTTCTGTAGTTACTAGTATACCCATTAGATGGCAAGCTGCCAGAGGATGAGAAAGAATCCTTCCTCACCATGTGCCTCACACTGCACAGAGCTCAGCTGACCTGCTGACTGGATGGATGGATGGATGGATAAAAGTAGATGGGTAGGTGGATGAATGAACAGATGTGTGAATGGATGGGTGGATAAACAGATGGACAGGCAAGCATATGGGCAAGAGGGTCTAGAGCCATGTCTCCTCCATCACCTATGTATACTTCCCTACTCCTAGGACATGAGCCTTTTAAAAACAACAGCTGCGTCACAGCAAGAAATGCTGCTTAGATGGCTTATCCAGACCAATGGAGCAGGAGTTCAGGACTAGGAGCATGGCATTGAGTCATAGACCTTGACACTAAAGGTCTTTTTAGGGGGGCAGGGTAGAGTCTCACTCCTTCACCAAGGCTGGAGTACAGTGGCAGATCATGGCCACTGCAGCCTCAATCTGCTAGGCTCAGGTGATCCTTCCACCTCAGCCTTTCAAGTAGCTGGAACTACAGGTGTGCCACCACATCTGGCTAATTTTTTGGTTTATTGTAGAGACAAGGTCTCCAGTTTTCCCAGGCTGGTCTCAAACTTCTGGGCTCGGGCGATCCCCTCACCTCCACCTCCCAAAGTGCTGGGATTACAGATGTGAGCTAACCATGCCCAGCCATAACTAAAGGTCTTGAGGGGACGGCTTTGATAACATGACTTAGAAAGGCTTGGCCTTACTGTGCCATCCATGAAATGCCATGGGAGATGAAAAAAAAAAAAAAAAAACAACTGATGCCTCCCAGAACATTCAGACCCTGACAAGACAGGGCTGTCTACACTGGAGAGCTAGTATAGAAAGGAGTGGGAGAATAGACATGTGTCACGACAGAGCTGGCCTGGGAGAGAAATAAGTGCTTTCAGAGGGCCGTATGCCATGCTTCACTTGGACATGCCCAGTATTGTTCAGCCTGGGGGCGGCTCTCTGTGGAGGGGCTTGAACCTAGAAGCCTCTGCGGGTCTCCCCAGCTTTGCTCAGAAGAGAAGGGTTTATGGTCAGCAGTGCTCCTCAAAGTGGGGTCTGCAGTCTGCCTGTCTGCATTGGAGTCAAAATCACCTTTGGGGCTTAAGCATTCACCCAGACCCATTGAAGAAAACTCTCTGGGGATGGTGCCTGAGAATCTCCCTTTTCACAAGCTCTTCGGATGATCTCTAAGCACACCAAAGCTTGAAAACCTCTTTGCCACAGACTAAACTTGCAGGGTAGCTGACTGGAACTACCGCTGGCATTCATAAGGCTTGCAGGGTAGCTGACTGGAACTACCGCTGGCATTCATAAAGGGTGGTCAAAGCAGGCCCTGACCAGGACGAACAGTTCTAACCAGACTCGTTCCCCTCATTAACAGTAGCAGGCAACATGAACTTGGAATATCACAGACTAAACTCCACTTATGAGAGTAGGGTCCCAATCCACTGGGCATCTGCATTCTCCCAACACAGGCATGGCCCAACCCTCCCTGGAGTCTGCTGCCATCCACCCCTTCCAAAGGGGACACCCCAGCCCCACCCCTATCTCCAAGGCCAGAGTGAGGGGAATTTTGAGAGAGGACCTCAGAGAAGTGGCAAATTTCCCTGAGGCAAACTCAGCCACTCTCATCCAAAAGCAACTCATATAACACATTTATGTAGCCAGAAATGTCCTGCAGTTAAGCTAGGATTTCATTCTGAGCTTAGGCTCCAGAAGATACTGCAAGCCACAAGAGGCCTCTCAAGCGCCAGTGGTATGAGACTTTAATTTAACCTTACACCTCTCTCCTCACCCTTTCATCCTCACTTCCTGGAGCTGCCTGCATCTTGCTGAGATGAGAACAGCCTTGCTCATGGGAACTGGACCATTTCTTTCTAAAACCGGGTCCAGTTTCTTTTCTGGTCTCCATTTGGGGATCTCATCTTCTGATTTCATTCATTTATGGTACTCAGCTTACTAGCAATGTAACCTCAGATAGATGACTTAACTTCTGAACCTGTTTCCTCCTCCATAAAATGAGAGTGATCACGGTTCCGACTTTATAGATTAACGTGAGGAATTGAAAGATGACATAGGGCAGCAGGCAGCAAACACTCTCACTGTTGTCCTGCCCATTATGCCCCTCACAAACTTATCTTTCCTCTTATAAATTTACCTTTCTTAATTTAAAAAAAAATGATGTATGTGAAAGTGGCTGGCACACCATAGGTGCTTAGTGAAGGTGCTTTGAGAGGCAAGAAACGTGTGAGCCATCATCCCTGCCTCAGTGCATTCACAATTCACTTGGGGAAATATGTTCTTTTTTTTTTTTTTTTTTTTTTTGAGTTGGAGTCTCACTCTGTCACCCAGGCTGGAGTGCAATGGCACTCTCACTCCAAGTAGCACGTGCTACCGCACCCGGCTAATTTTTGGTTTATTGTAGAGATGAGGGCTCACCAAGTTGCCTGGGGTTGGTCTCGAACCCATGGGCTCAGGCAATCCACTCGCCTCAGCCTCCCAAAGTGCTGAGGAAAATATGTTCTTAAACAGTTGCAATAGGAGGCAGCCCTGGGTGTTGGTATAAGTGTCAAAGGTGATGGGAAGGGGAGAGGTTACCTGAGGCTGGGGCAGGCTCCTTGTGACTGGTGGAGAGAACAGTTTACCTCTTTAACCTTGGACTGATGCCTCCAGAAGCATCAGCTGTGCTGTATTTCCTCATCTGTAAAGGTGATCACGCCTGCCCTGTCCACCTCACAGGGATGCTGTGAGGCTCAAAGCACATAATGAATGTGGAGAAATCTGAAAGCAGTAAAATGCTTTGGAAGAGGTCATTGAAGCTTAAGGGGGGAAGGAGATGATGAAAAAGGGGGATTTGGCAGCTGACTAGATTGGGGAGGAGCCTCCTGTGGGAGGAACAGAGATGAGAAAGTGCATCCTGTGGCTCAGGGGGCTTGCAGGGTAGCTGACTGGAACTACCGCTGGCATTCATAAAGGGTGGTCAAAGCAGGCCCTGACCAGGACGAACAGTTCTAACCGGACTCGTTCCCCTCATTAACAGTAGCAGGCAACATGAACTTGGAATATCACAGACTCAGCTGAGCATGAGTAAAGAACTGGCCGGGACAGGGAGGGGGAGACCACATGAATTCTGAATTACCCCTTCCCCATGCTTGTGTAAGCACCAACAGAATGCCTTGTGGGGGGGGGGGTGCAGCTAGGTACTTAGATAATGAGGGCTTGCCCAGAAGCTCCACCTTCTGCTTAAAATGCAGACAGTCAAGAGGGGAAAAACCATGAAGGTGGGAAAAAAGCTTTTACTACCCCCAGTGGAGACTCCAAGCCAGCCCAGGTGTCTCAGCCCTGCAGAGAGCCAGGAGCCCAAGTACCCAACCCTGTCATCTCCCCCCTTCACCCCACCTCTCCTGTTCCCGAGGCCTATGGAAGGACAAGCTGTTCCCACTGAGCCCTGCCAGCGCTGCTTTAACCCCTACAATCCTTCCTAATCCTCCTCCGCTCCACCCCTCCAGCTGCTCCCTGCCTAGCCCTGGCATACTGCCCGCTGGCCTCGGCCCAGCCCTCACGTTGCCCTGCCCAGGCCACCATCTCCTCTCCCCAAGAAGAGCCAGGGCTTGGCCCAGGGCCCTCCAGAGCACGGTCAGCAGGCTGGGCACCTGCAACTGAGATGGAGAACCAGGGACCAAGGCTCAGAGTCTGGCCCAGCCTTTTCTCCTCACCCAGTCTCTTCCACACCCTTGCCCTCTGCTCCAGGGCCTGTTCTAGTAGCAAAGGGTCTGAGAACCTGAGTACCTGGGTCCTGTTTGTCACTGGGGCTGCTGACTCATCTTCCAAAGCTTTGGGTTCCAGCTGTTCAGCGACAGGGAGATTATATAAGCTGAGGTCATGTGCTTTTTCTCTTGGGTGGGACTTTGGACTTGAATACTACCCTGCAGGGAGCAGAGGTTACTGCAGAAAGAACAAGTCGAGGATGCAAGGGTTACCCTAGAGCTCCTGGGTGAGAAGTGTGACCTTCCTCTCGTGTCTCTTGCCTCTTCACTCTGTTTACTCAGCCATGCTGGACTGCATCCCTGCTGTCCTGTTTGTCCAGCTTGGCAGCCTAAGACCCTGGGGTCTGTCCTCAGCCGTTCCCACCCCAGGCTCACTCAGCCACTCTGAAGCAGTTGAACTTCCCAAGGTCATGAATCTGTGTTGACAGATGAAAAGGTCACTCAGAGATTTTAAGCCAGAGGGTTCCCATGGCCAGGAACAGTTCTAGCTGCTGAGAA